CTCGCCTCCTCTTTGGCGTTGGACCTCGCGGGCGCACTCGCCCCCCCGCCCGCGCCCCCGCCCCACGGCGACGGCACCGGCACCAGACCGAGGCCTCCCGACCCCCCGGGCCCACGACTCCCATCCTGCCCCGACTCCGGCCGGAAGTTCTTCACCAACCCAGCGATCTCGGTAAGCTGCGCCACAATGTTCGTCTGGCCTTGTTCCAGACGAGCGATTTTTCCGCATTCTCAGACGCGAGCGGGGTGCCCTCGCTGGGCTCCGCCCCCCCCGCAGCACCCACCGACATATGGGCCAAACGCGACATAACGTGGGCCTGGACTTGGTCATCCGCACGCCGGAGCTCCGGCTGGCGGTCACCGCCGGAAGCCAAGGCCCGAGTGTGACCCTGAGTCGGAAACCCACCGCTCTCAGCACCACCAACATCTGCGGATGATTGCGCTGTTGAAGCCACGTCACCTGCTGGGGAATCCACGCCACTGGCAGCAGCCCTCGCGGCCGCCGCAATAGCGCCCGCCACAACCTGAGACGGGGGAAACGAACTCCTTCCCGTCCCCAACGCCGACTCGACTTGACCACCAGTAGGTCCTTCACTGCGGACGACACCAGCGTTCTTCCGTCTCCGGCGACTTGTGCTCGGATGACATGGCCCAAATTTGATGCAATCGAGAGCCACCAAGATTCAAACCTCCAGTTCCAACCGATAGGAGAATGCCCCCAGACGCCCGCGCCACACGACCCGCACGATCCCCTGCCCACGGGAAGGGACCAGCACAACAAATATATCTCCTCCGAAATATCTCGTGGCTGCAGCAGCCTCCCTCGTGCTTCCTTGGGCCAGACCAACAAGTGCTCCCAAGTCTACTCTTCTGGTCAGGTGTCAGACACTTCATGCTGACTCCATGCTGCTGCTCTCTGATTGGCCAACAGATATTTCATCTTCCGCTCCTCACGAAACTCAGATTTCAACGCCTCTGTCTCTGCAATCTTCTGCGTCTACTCTACGCGGCGCAACCAGCGTGCGGTGCACCCGCGGCAGGGACCAAGCACGAAAACGCGCCCACCACGAGATCAATCGCCACCAAAATTTGAAGCAAGTCGAACTGAGCATCAAAGAGCATTTTGCAAGAGAATTCAACTCGATTAATGCAGAGGGTCGAGAGGTAGGCACGGATGAAGTTGAAAACTTGCGTTCGCATACAGGCGTCGTGCTTATTATGCCCTACCACGGTGCCGGCAGCACCGAGCACTGATAATATTAGCTGCTGATGTGGCTGATGTGGTGGTTATACAGCACTTTGAACTGTGCTGCAATACGCACTATATAGGTGGAGTACTCTTGAATGGCGTCAGCTAGGTTTGAACTGAAATTGCTTCTACNGGCACGGATGAAGTTGAAAACTTGCGTTCGCATACAGGCGTCGTGCTTATTATGCCCTACCACGGTGCCGGCAGCACCGAGCACTGATAATATTAGCTGCTGATGTGGCTGATGTGGTGGTTATACAGCACTTTGAACTGTGCTGCAATACGCACTATATAGGTGGAGTACTCTTGAATGGCGTCAGCTAGGTTTGAACTGAAATTGCTTCTACTGGTGTTGCACCGCACACACAACGCTTGTGCCTGTTGAGTCGGGACCCTCACACAGCAGCGCAACTCTTCTGATTCCCGAAGAACAAAATATAAGGTGGAGGGAGTAGCGACAGTAACACGGCACCTACAGTAACAGTGCGTTTGGTCACTAATAGCGTTGTGCTATCTGATGTCGCACGCAGGCACGGTCGGCATACATTTATGTGCACATTGAAATATTTCTTCTCGAAGCATAGTCTAGAATATGCACTGAGCATTGGTTGTGTCAGAAACGCGAGGAAATACTTACACGTGATCACCGTACACGAGACCGAGCCCCCAAACTTGCCCAAATCTATCGACATCATGCCCGAACTGAAGGATATACAACAAATTTCTTACATTTTTACAGTCAGTACAAACGACACAGGCCCGAACGCACACAGCACCCCAATAGGTTTCAGGCACTTTACGGATAAAACGCGACGAACAAATTACCATGCCAATGAACAACGGACACCCAGCCTGGCCGAACAAAAAAGACCCCCCGTCCGTCCGTCTCCCTGCGCAACTAGACACGGAAATCGGCCGGGCGAAAACGTGCGCTCTAGCCGGCTGGTCAGCGTTAGGCTTCTATTCCTACGTCTGATATCTCGTGCCCCCCGGTCGTCGTATTTGATGGATGGATGCATCCAACGGAAGTGACGCATGGGCCTGTTTATCCACCATTGAAAGGTGAGGTTAGAATAAATCATTACACAGCGATCTTCAGGTACGATGTGGAGAACTGACATGCAAGAATGCCTGGCACGACCTCCCCAAACCCCAAGCCATGTGTCTCAACGAACGTAACATGCACCTGTCTGAAGAAGTAGCCAAATCTCAGTTCCAAGCGTCGAGTACGAGATCCCCAATACCGTCATTTGTGTCTCCGTCACTCCAGGCCGGGTCGACGCTCTTCTCGCTCAACACGTCAGATTCTCCATCGCTGGAGCCAGATTCGTCCGAATCCAACTTGATCAAATCATCGAGTGCACCGACCGAACCGTCGCTGTTCTCGTCCGACTCAGGGCCCTCCAGCTCTTCGTTCTCCGAATCCGCGGCCTGGCCGGAGGAATCGCCGTTGCTCGCAGGTGACTCCGTAGTCCCCGTCTCCTCGTCGTTTTGTTCCGCTCCGTGCGATTCCTGCTGCTTCATAGAAGCGGCAAAGAGTGTCATGGCATTGGAAACAAGCACGGATGGCTGTGGTCGAGTGTCGACGGGTGGCTGATGTCGAGCAACACCCTCGATCGGCCCAGTTTGAGAAGCACCCACCGTGGGCCGGGACGCAGACATCCCCCCTGCTCGCACGGGTGCCGGCGCCGCCCGACGGAGGGTGCAATGACCTCTGCAGCCGCAAGCGAGCGAGCACTTCCTGTCCTTGCACCTGCACCTGTTGCACAAGGCCGTATCCGGATTGCAACCGCACGCCAGCGTGACTGTCTTGCGGTCAGCCGATGTACGAATACTCGGACAACCAAAGCACGCAGTTCCCGGCTGCGAGTTCGTCGCCGTTGCTCCCCTGTCCTCGTCGGTCGACGCCCCATCCTTTGCCGGCAAACTCGGTCGCCGGCATGGTCTCCCTCAGGCCATTCTGCCAGTACCTGAAGGTGGCGTTACCCCGTGCTGCCTGCATGCGCAAGGCAAAATAAGGCGGACAGGTGGCTGTCGTCTTCTTCTTGGGGAGTTGGAGGATGGCGTAGCGGATCAAGCTCACGTAGTCCTCGACGCCACCGCNACTCGGTCGCCGGCATGGTCTCCCTCAGGCCATTCTGCCAGTACCTGAAGGTGGCGTTACCCCGTGCTGCCTGCATGCGCAAGGCAAAATAAGGCGGACAGGTGGCTGTCGTCTTCTTCTTGGGGAGTTGGAGGATGGCGTAGCGGATCAAGCTCACGTAGTCCTCGACGCCACCGCGGACGCTTTCGAGCAGCTGGCGAGGAGTTAAATGAGCACTGCCAAACGCCGCTTCATCCTTGTAGAAAAACGGTGTGGCCAAAAGTTTCGCGCATTCGTCGATATCTACGGCCCACGTGCCGTCCTGGTCCTCGAAGAAAAACGGCTTATCGAACAAACCCTCCGTCCGCACGCTCTTCAAGACGAGCACCCACATCTTGTCGAACGGTAGCCCGGAAAATACCGGCAGGTAGTCACCGCCCGACTCGAGGAAGGTGAGGACGACCAGACGTACCTTGTCGGCGTCCGTGGGCCTCCAGCTTCTGAAGGTCAAAGGCGGCCACGTGGATTCGCTTCCGTCCTGGAGTTCGCACATTTTGGCGAACACTCTGTTCATCCACAGGAATTTGGTCTCGCCGTCCACGACCCTCTGGACGGTCACGTCAACCGCCCCCTCGCCACGAGGCGTCAGCCAACCAGTGGTCATCGCCAGTAAAATGATCATCCATAGGTCCGCGTCTACTGATGAAACGACCCACTTGTCGAATAATTCTACCAGCTGCTCGCACGTCATAGACTACATCCTTGCGTCTGCGTCCTCCTTGTCCTGCTCGACTTGCCCCAGGATCGACTCGAGAGACCCGTCCTTATCCGCTAGCTGGTTGGATGGTGACTGTGCGGGTGCGTTACGGTGAGCACGCAGCATTAAGTCAACGAGATACTCGTCCCGAATTGAGTTTGGGAAGAGGCAGAGTTCCCGCTCGCGTGCGTCTCCCTTTGCTCCATCGACTCGGACAATTCGTGAATTGCTCCCGGGCGCCGCGGCTATGCTGGTAACAAGTCCAGGACGAGGTGTCTTGCATATTTCTCTTTCATCTCGGGCATACCAACTTTCACGCGTTCAGCAGCTAGCCAATCGTCGACGTCCTGCCAGTGAAGGATATCACCTCGACCGAGGACTTCATACACCATCATGCGCACCGTGCCCAACGGCTCTGGAGGCGTTGGCGCCTCGCCCCCCGACCCACATGCAATGCTCGCAGGGTTTTCCGGCTGTTTGTCGTCTCTTCATGCCGTCCAACCGGTTCTGATAGCAACGGTCGCACCACAAAACACCGTCACTCACTGCTGCACTCCCCTCTGCGACATGATCTCCTGCAGCATCCATGGGATACCACCTTACGCGGCTCCTGTCCGATTTTCGTTACCCACAATTACCGCATTGGCGAAACTCTGCCTGCTTTTCTTCCTTGGCGAAAAAAGCTAGAAAGCAGTCTGAGCGTTGGAAGAGGCAGTCCTTGCTGGGTCTAAAGTCTCGCACGAGAGCTAGAGGCAGGGTTTTCTCTCCTTGTGTCCACGCGGCCACGAAGGCTACTGCCAGCCCTAACCGGTCCCCACGGAGGTGCGTGAAACCTTCGTCGTTCGGAGATCTGTGGCATGCCGAACATGGTCTCTCGTCGACCGAGTGCACTGCATTGTGTGGGCATGTGCTACACTCGGTGCCAGGGTTGTGTGTAACCCATCCGCATTCCCGACGATCGCACGCCTTTCTTCGCTCCTTCTTCGTTGGTTGGCCTACAGGTAGCACCGCCGGGGCAGAAAGTCTCCTACCCGCATTTCGCTTGCCTGGCTGATGACTGGCTTGTCTTGGGTTCCCGCCGTGACTCCTACACCGAGTATCAACGGGGTGATTCCCCCTGGCCTCTGACTTTCGCCGTTCATGTTCGGCAATGGCGCGATCTCTACGAGCCGTTGCCTCCGTCCTCGCCTGGGTCTGCTGCCTGTAGTATTCCTCCTCCGCGAGCTTGCTCTAAAGGTTGGGTAGACACCCACCCGTAACACTAACAGAGGGCCTCCTCCTCCTCCGTTTCCTGCCCGACCGGTTCTTTCCTCCCGTCCAACGGACACGTGCTCCGGAATTTCCCGCGTCGCGCTTTGTCGCGGCGATGGGGGTGCGCACCGAGGTGGTTAGGTTGCCCTCTCTCCTGCTCCCGCTCCGTGGACGTTCACTTGTGACGTCTCCCCCTGTGTTGTCGACCACTGGTTGACGCGGGGCTAGCGTGTCTTCCGTGAGCTGGCGAAGGGTTAGTATCGGCTGCATCCCGACGCTTCCGGGTGTAGCAGGGCTCCCAGCCTGGTTCCGAGGCACCGCCGGTGGCGTACCCGGTTGAGCTATTGGGCTGTTCACCCCACAAGCCTGTTGGCCCAGCCTACGTCTCCGACGGTTTATCTGGCAGTAGCTCGACCTATGCTGGCCGTGTTTCCATGCATTAAGTGCCTGACCAGGGTATACAAAAATGATACCAATGTTACGTTGAACGTACAGCTTACGTAGGCGCATGCCGTTTCGTGGTCTGGCATCTTCGTTACCTCTTGAAAGCCATGCACAAGATCTGATCGTCTGCACAGACATGCTTATTCACCTGACAACGTTACGGACTGAAACCTCTGGTTGAACTACGTAGATTGTATACGTGACTCTGAGATGCTGCGGCCTTATTCTGTCACGGTCTTGGAGTGCCTGTACCAAGCGCCGTAGGTCGTGTCCGGCTCGTACTGGCGAAACACCGAGATTAATTGAACTTGGAGAAATCGAGCTTGCCCTCTTGAAGCCCAACTTGGCTGAAACTTGTTGTGATAGCCTGACCCTGAGGTGGAATTATTGTATCGGGTATTTCCATCGTATCTTGGGGTGGGAATGGTGTATCCAGTGGATCTACATGCGCAACCTGCAAGGAGGGTGCGTTCGGACCCAAGGCGTATTTGTAGACTCTCCCGATATTTGAATTTTAAACACACCATGCTTATCTCTTGCCACACATCATCGCCTCAAACCTTTTGCATTACGTGGCAGTACAACCTAGGTACATGGCGGCAGCATAATTAGGCTGCAAAACAACTACCTCGCACAATGGTCGGTTCGTGTGTGAAGCTCCCTCCCTCACCTTGGAGCTGCTGCATGGTGGTACGCTCTAGCTAAAGTCCAACTTTTTCGCCCTACCGTGCGTAACTGGACATGTAAAACATCCCTAAAGCATACCTAATGTGCCCTGGCATCTTTTTTACATATATCTCTTGAAAAATTGACGGTTACGCTTCTCGTTCGCCCTCTAGAGCCGGTGCTAGGTGCGGAGGTCTGTTGCCGAGTGAGCCGCTTGATCATAAGGATTTCCACAGGGGCTGCTTTCCCGCTGGAAGCTTTTTTGTGCCTACTTTTTTTCATCCGTGCAGCACTGCTAGCACCGGTCGCCGCGGTGGTCTAGTGGTAGTCGCAATCCGCTAGTCGCAGAGGTCATGAGTTCGGATCCCCATGGGGTGAAAATTTTACGAAATTTACGGGTGCAAGCGAAATATAGTTTAAAAGCTCTCGTGAGTGAAAAACTTCGACGTTAGCACCGTTGACGAGGGAAGGGGACGGCTGGACCCTTGTCGCGATAAAAATAAAATTCGGCACGCACCGCAGGTGGGGCATGAAAAGAAATAAAAAGGAGAAAAAAGCCCTGGTGTTTACCCCCTCCTGTGTGACCCTGGATGTTTGTAGTTGTACGAAAAAATACGCTGAAAAGTGTAGTACTCTACATACGCTGAAAAATGTAGTACACGTCTCACCACGAAAAATGGGGGGACTNCTCCTGTGTGACCCTGGATGGTTGTAGTTGTACGAAAAAATACGCTGAAAAGTGTAGTACTCTACATACGCTGAAAAATGTAGTACACGTCTCACCACGAAAAATGGGGGGACTGTCGCCATAATAAATAAAAAAAAGTAGGACGAAAACACACACAAAACACACACTGCTGTTGTATGTTGTTGTTGTTGTTGTCTTCACATTAAAAACCATCCCGGTCTCTCTATCCAGTACCTCCTTCTGTCTCAATCTCTCCGTACTAATCCATCACTTGACTCGGCCAATTTCCGTGGTCACAGGCTAACGTACCTAGAAAAGGTATACCAAAATAAAATGGACCCCAAGGGTCAGCAGAGCGATAAAATACAAG